CTATATTCTTCTTCTTTGTTTTAATGGATGGCTTGCATATACAGCTTCTGACTTATCTTCTGGAGGCTTTGGCACAGATGAAATTACCTCTTTAAGTTTATTCCGAATTAGGTTTGCTGTTGTATTCAAGGAATCATCTTGCAGATCCACTTTAGGTATGTCTGGTAACTTAGGCCCGATCAGCACCTCATTACTGTTCGTGCTTGTTTCAAAATGTCCAAGTTTATGATCATCTTCTCTTCTTCTTTTCCGCTCCTGCAGCTGTGTTGTCCTAGGCATAAATCTGTCAATCGCCCCTGAAGGAGTAATGGCTTTTTGTGGTTCAGAATCTTTAGAAGTGTTCATCTGGATAGCGGGGGAAGAGTCGCTGTGGATACAGTGCTTCGCTGTTTCATTACAGTCTCTACCATCTTTATATAAATTGGACGTTCTATTCACATGCTCTTCAGGTGAACACACACATTGTGATGCAAAATAACACAAAGGTAATTCACAAGAATAAGGAAAACGAGGATCTCTGTTTCCAGCAGGTGTGTTCCAAGTGGCTGCAGAAAATCCAGACATACCTGAGTGGAAGGCACATCTACGATCTTCTGTGTCTTTATGCTCTGGAGCTGCTTTCTTCTTTGTCATATAATAGTCTTTATTTTTAGTAGCTCTTGCTATATAAGCTTTTCTCTCTTCTAATTTTTTTCTAGTTTCTTCAACTGTCTCAAATTCTGGAGCATAGCAAACATGAAGCAATCCACCAAAGAAACTCTGTTCATCCATTTTTCTCTTGGCTATCCTTGCACTCTGTAAATTCATAAACTTAATAAGATAAACTTCTGTAAAGTCTTCTGCTGGGTATTCATCTAGAGCATTATACTCTTCAATTGTACCATATAGAGCAAATCGTTCAACTAATTCCTTCATTGCTCCTACTGCAGGAACTCCTTGTATCAGTAAGTACCAAGATTCCAAGTTGATTGTATAGACCTTCACCGCGCGAGGTCTTCGGCCCTCTCGATATTTCGGCCTTGTGTCGCAAACTGCCCTCTGGACGTGGTGGTCGAATAAACTTCCAAGCTGCCCGTCGCTCGACGCCATGTTGTTTGCTCTAAAGCTGACCTGGAGCACCCTTCGGTGCTATTTTAAAAGGTATTGTTTCTCTAATTTTCCTCTCAGTGTGTTTGTTATCTGTGTAGAGGAATGCTATTGAGTTGTGGGTTTTGACTTTGTATTCTGTTATGCTACTGAATTTGGGTATCAATTCTAGTAGCTTCTTGGTGAAGTTTTTTTGGGTTTTCCAAGTAAAGTATCATGTCATCTGCAGATAAGGATAATTTAACTTCTTCTTTACCTCTTCTTATTCTTTTTATTTCTCTCTCTTGTCTAATGGCTCTAGCTAGTGATTCCAGAAGTATATTAAATAGGAGTGGTGGTAGAGGACATCTTTGTCTTGAACCAGATCTGAGAGTAAAAGATTTCAATTTTTCCCCATTTAGAATTATGTCAGCTGTTGGGTTGTCATAGATGGTTTTTATCAGATTGAAGTAGAGGCCATCTATACCAATTTTCTTTAGGACTTTGAACATGAATGAGTGTTGGACTTTGTTAAAAGCCTTTTCTGCACCAATTAAGATGATCATGTGGATTTTTGATTTCGCTCTGTTGATATAATATATTTATATATTTGCATATATTGAACCATCCTTACATCCCTAGGATGAATCCTACCTGGTCATGGTGTATAATTTTCTTGATGATTTGCTGTATTCTATTTCCTAGGATTTTACTGAGGATTTTTGCGTTTGTGCTCATGAGGGATATTGGCCTGTAGTTTTCTTTTTTAGTTGCATGTTTCCCTGGTTTTGTTATCAGTATGATATTTGACTCAAGAAATGGTTTTGGGAGCATTGCTTCCTTTTCAATTTCATTGACGAGTTTGAGGAGTATAGGGATTATGACTTCCATAAATTTCTTGTAGAATTCAGTTGTGAATCCATCCAGGCCTGGACTTTTCTTTGTCGGTAGGTTTTTTATTATATTTCATATTTCATTGGCTGTTATTAGGTTAGTGAGAGTTATATTTCTTGATTCAATTTTGGTAATTTGTACCTTTCTAGGAATCTCTCTATTTATTCTGTATCTTCTACTGTGTGAGAGTAAAGATTCTCAAAGTAGCTATTGACAATCTGAATTTTCACTGGGCCTGTGGAAATTACACCCTTTTCATTCCTTATTGCTTGTATTTGAGTTATTTCTTTCCTCTTTTTGATGAGGATATCTAGGGGCTTTTCAATTTTATTAATTTTTTAGAGAACTAGGTTTTTGATTGGTTAATTCTTTGAACTGTTTTCTTCATGTCTATTGAATTAATATCTTCTTTAGTCCTTTATGGTTTCTTCTTGTCTTTGGGCTCTCTGTTTTGTTTGTTATTTCTTTCCTATATGCTGCAGGTGCAACATTAGGGTGTTTATTTCTTCCTGTTCTGTTTTCCTAATGTGTGAGTTCACAGCTATCAATTTCCCTCTGAGAACTCCTTTTGTCACATCTCATAAATTCCGATATATTTTGCTTGAATTTTCATTGAATTGTAGATATTGTTGAATTTCTTGTTTAATTTCATCTGTGACCTATTGGCTGTTGAGTAGAGTGTTGTGTAATTTCTATGAATTTATGTTTTTTTCTGTTTTCTTGTGTCATTTATTTTGTTTCATTGCACTGTGGTCAGATAATATGCATGGGATAATTTCTGTTTTATTGCATATACATAAGTATGACCTATAGACCGATATGTGGTCTATTTTAGAAAATGACCATGTGTGCTGAGAAAAAGGTATATTCAGCTGTTTTTGGATGGAACACTCTGTATATATCCACTAAATCAATTTGTTGCAAGCTTTGGTTGAGTTCTGGTACTTCTTTGCTAATTTTTTGTCTGCTTGACCTGTCTCATTGGGATATAGGCATGTTAAGGACTCCTGTTAAGATTGTGGATTGGATATTTAATTTTTCATGTCCTTTAAGATTTGTCTTATATAGTTGGGTGCTCCCGCATTTGGTGAGTAAATATTTATGAGTGTTATCTCTTCCTCTTGAGTTTTTCCCCTAATCATTATATAGTGGCCTTCTTTACTTCGTTTGATCATTCTTGGTTTGAAGTTGAGGCTGTCTGAGAACAAGATTACTACCTGTGCCTTTTTCTGAGGTGCTTGGGTGTGTAGTATTGTTTTCCGTCCTTTGACTTTCAGCCTATGAATTTCCCTAGGAGTTAAGTGTGTTTCATGTATACAGCAGATTGTTGAATTTTGTTTCCTAATACCCTGTGCCAGTCTATTTCTTTTAATTAGTGAATAGACCCCATTTACATTGATGGTTATAACTGAGATGTGTTTACTTATGATTGACATGTTATTTACCTGCTATTGTTTACTCCTTTTTCCTTTTTCTCCTGTGTTTAATTGTTTGCCCTATTTAGTGCGTTTCCTCTGTTCTTGTTCGTGGAGTTCTGATCATTTTGTTCCCTCCATAGAATGTCTTTCAGTAGTCTGTGTATGGTTGGCTTTGTCATCATGAAATGTTTTTAGTTCTTTGTCATGGATGTATTTCAGTTATCCATCAAACTTGAAAGTGAGTTTTGCAGGGTATAGTAGTCTGGGCTGGGATTTTTTGCTAGAGAACTTGGAGTGCTCTGCTCCATGCTCTTTTTGCTTTCATGGTTTTTGAAGAAAAGTCTGCTCTTATTCTGATGGGTTTTCCTTTGAATGTGATCTGTTTCTTTTTTGTCTAGCAGCTTTCAGTATATTATTCTTGTGCTGAATTTCTGGGATCTTGACGATTATATGTTTCAGTGTGTTTTTAATTGGGTTGAAGGTATTTGGCATTCTGTATGCTTCAGTTGCCTGGATGTCTGATTGTTTCTTCATATTCAGGAAGTTTTCTGCTATTACTTCTGCCCATATTTTATTAATGTCATTTGTATCGACTTCTTTCTCTTTGATGCCTATTAGTCTCACATTCTTCATCTTTGCATCATCTTGCAGGTGATGAGTTATTTTTTCCTGCTTCCTAGTTGTTTTTAAGAGATCTTTTCTTACCTTTTCACTAGCTGCAAGAGCATATTCAAGATCTGAAACTCTATCTTCATTTTCACTCAAATGTTTTTGCAGGCTTGTGATTGAGATTTTATGTTCCTCTATATCTCTTTGACTCTGCTTCATGCGATCTATTTCTTTCCTGTGTTGCTCATTCAAGGAATCTGTCATTTTTCTAATCTCCTCTATTTTTTTTAATCAATGTCTTCTTTGGAAAGAGTTATTAATTCTTTTACTGCAGAGTATTTTTCAGTTTGGGTTTCCTCCTTATGCTTCTGCATTTGATTCTTTACTTCAGATGATATTAATTCAGAGATTTCTTTTTATTTCTGATCTGATTTCCTCTATACCTTTCTGCAGTTGTTTCTTTATTTAAGACGCTATTGATTCATTGATTTCAGCTATGTGATTCACAATTTGTTCTGTGCTTTTGTCCTCTGCACTTGTTATGGGTGGGCTTGGAGTCTGAGATTGCATTTTGCTCCTTTTCATCATTTTGTATAGCACTGTCATCTGACTTTTGTTATAGAGCTTTGGTGCAGTTATGGCCTTAGCACGTGCTGAAATTTGGATGCAGATGTACAAAGTTTGAAATTATCCAGTTGTGCCTCTCTTGGGTCTGGCTGCTGTGCTCAGCTCCTTTCTGCTGCAGCCCTGTGGAGTGAACCTGTTGTGTCCCTCTGGCAAGATGTTCTGCTTCTGGACCAGCTGGGTGGTTTTGTCCCCTACTGTCTCTGCAGGGACTGCAGCTGCAGAGTTTCACCCCAGGCCTTTATACCAGGCCCAGGTTGGGTCTGAGGGTGACAATGGGGCATAGGGTAGAGGGGAATCTCTCCCACACACTCTCAGAGCCTGGGCTTGGGCTAGATCTTGGGGTCCGAAGAATGTGTCAGAAGTTCTCACTCACTGGGCAGGCATGTGAGAGACAGACTCTGGAGTGGTGGGGCTATCCCAACGCACAGCAGGGGGGGTCTCACTCATGTGGTGTGCCTAGGTTTGGAGCGGAGAGGTCCTGCAGGGACAGAGTAGCTGCCAACTTGACATTTGTTTCTCTCTTCCCTTTGGGACTTAGTCAAACCATGGTCCAGCACTCATTTTCTGGCTGCTGCGTCTTTCTGTTGCTTGTAAAGGCTACACTGATTTCACAAGACTGAGGATTTCAAGCATTCTGCACATGACTGAAAGAGAGCTTTTCACCTCTGTGACAAAATTCTTGAGAAAATCAGGTTGCAAGAAGGCGAGATTTATTTTGGCTCCTTGAAACCCAGAGGTTTCCGTCCAGAGTACTTCATCTGTGTTGCTCTCGGCCATTGGTGAGGCAGCACCTCGTGGGCTGGAATGCATTGTTGAGCACACTGCTCCACCCCTGTTGGCTGGGAAGCAAGAGAGACAGGGAGGAAGGAGTCAGGTTGGACACTGCTTTCACAGGCACCCTATCAGGACAGCGTTCTCCTGCCAGGCACTACAGGAGGGGCCAAGCTTTGCCACTTGTGCCTATGGAGGACACTTCTGATCAGAGGACAGTGCTTTTACTGGGTGCTTTATCAATGTCATCCTTTGAGACAAGGGATTTCCAAGTTCACTGAAACTTGACTTTATGTTTGTGTTTTCCACTTTGATGAGGACAATTGCATTCTAGGAATGGGACTGTGTGTTTCCATCTCACAGATGTCCTTCTAGTGCCTGTTCCCCCCAACCCCCATAGCAGTGCAATGGAGCATGTTGTGTTCTTTTTATGTCAGAAATGACTGGAAGCAACTTAGATCCCCTTATTCACATTAACAAACCTCTTCAGAAGGTAGAAATCCCCAGAGTTCAAATTTTCTCTCCCCCCTCCTCCTTCTCCTCCTCCTCCTC